TAATTGCAGAAAATCAGGACATGTATGCAAAGATTGTAAGGCAAAATCTAAAAATAACAGACCAGATATCCCATGTCCCATTCCATTTGCAAAAAGTGATATCATTGGGCCAGCCAATGCAGTCAAAACCCTCAAAATAAGAATAAAAATAAAAATAATAATGAACACAGTCAATCATTGGGAAACAAGATGGCAGTTACATTTCTGACCCAGGAACAACAGGGAACTCCCTTCATGTCACCTCCTTCCAACAAACCATTCATGCCACCAAGGGGAACTCTAGCGAAGATTTACTATTAGCTGAACCTATCAATTTGGAAATGCCTGGTACTGTTTATAAGGTTCCTACTACTTTTCCTAGTCCTTTACCTCCTGGGACAACTGGCCTAGTTCTTCCCCATTCACAGGCATCAAGAAGAGGCACTTTTGTGATTCCTGATGTCATTGATGCTGATTATACTGGGATATTGTTGCTTCAAATGTGGTCTCTCTTGCCCATTGAACTAAATGTTTCTGAATCTGTAGCTCAACTAATTTTCTCATCTTATATCTCCTCTAAAGCTCATGATGTTGCTCATGGAAATCACGAATTTGGCTCTATTGTGGTGGCTGCTGCCTCTGGGAGATGAATGCCCAAGCCTCTCTTTAACTATTGACAACATTTCCTTTTCAGGTTTTAGCTTCTCTATTCAATGCTTTACGGGGTCACACAGATCCTGCTCATGTGATCTCTGACCCTCCTTCTAATGCAGGCCCTTCAGAGCACAGCTATGGTGGATCCAGTCCCAAAGGACTGCTCTCTTACCTTAATAATTTTTCATTTAGCCCCCTTGTTCACAGGAGCTCTTGTTGCCATCCAGAGCAACAAGTATTTACTGTTGAATGATTACATTTACCCCACTTGCCTGGTAGTACTTTAAATGAAAGCTACTTGCTTACACTGGCTAGGCGGCCACCATTTTACTGACCCTTGATGTATATCTCATTTTATTTTTCCTTTGCTTGCATAACCCCTACCAACCTTTCCAAGATCCTTTTATACAAGATCTCTGCTGACTGGCCTATAACAAATCCAACAGGTCTATTTATAGTTGTAGATTCTAAATTTGCAAGAAGTTATTTTAATTGTTTGGTTAATGATGTATATGAGTGCACTCTGATTTTGTAAGGTGTTTGTCAGTCTGTCTGTGTATCTGTTGTTCATTTGTCCAGTCTGTTTGTAAGCAGTTGCTGGGAGTTGCTGAGCTAGTGATCCTTCACACATAGAGCAGAAAGCAAAAATGCCTGTACAGGAGTGCCCAAGTGGCGCAGAACACCTGGGAAATTCCTTGAGGGCGTGTTGCAGTACTGAGAGCACAAGTGTAGGAGGTGAGCTAGTTTAGCAAAGGGATGTGGTACAAGTACATAAATGGCCCCTGGGGAACTTGGAGAGTTCTCACAGATCCTGACGGGCTGTGTGCTTGATTCTATGTTTGTTTTGTTTGAATCTGTACAGATCATCTGTCTATTTGCCTGCTCTGTGAACAGCTGTTCCTTTTATTTTGAGCTCAACAATTTTTCCCTTTTTTCTTATACATTTTTGGATCATTTGATAAAAAATTCATTTGGATTATAGATTTACAAAGCATGCTTTCACCTTGGTTGCCAGCTAGTCCAAATGATGCAAAGACTGGATATATAAGTGTAATATGTTGTTATTTATCATGGACTTGACAGTCTCATTATTTAGAAAAGAAAAATAATATTATTAGGATGAATAAACAAAATCTCTTGGGGTTGGGATTGTTGGACAGCACTCCAGGGGATTAATAGGAAGCAGCTGCCTGGTAACATTTTTTGACCAGTTCTTGTTCACTGATCAGAGGCCCCAGTGATCTTCATGGTCTTGTAGGAGATACCCCAGGAAAGTTATAAAATATGTTATTGTTATTATATGTTTACATTGGTCATTATCAAAAGAAATAATACAGTAAGTGTTTTTGGTTTAAAGATGCCTGTGTAAAGGTTTCATATAGCTATGGCAGTTGACTGCTATCAACTTGATGCTTACTGGATATATTCATGGTTCCAGATGCATAGGTCTCCCACATTGTGAAGTGGGGATTACTTACGGTAATAGACTTTTGTTTCATATTCAGACCTCTGCTGGTACCAGAGACTCATGGGATTCACATTCCACTAAAGATCAATAAGTTGAATAGAATCTTCTTGTATATTAGATAAGGGTTACTGACTAAAAGAGATATTTTATGTCAAAGTGGGAATTTGGATTATTGCAAGAATGTCATGATTGTCATGATACAATAATATGTATGGTTTTGAATCTTGATTTACTGAGTAAAATATGTAACTGTTAACGCTTTGTAGGTATTCAAATGCTAAACTATCTATGGATAGTAGAAAATAAGTTTCATTTAATATTCTAAGGTGCATCATATTTAGATAAGATAGTAATGTTAAGCTTACTGCCTGTAATATGTTGTATTGCTATCAGTCTTTTCTCCTCGATGTTCAAAAACTGAGGTTTAGAGACCAAAAATTAGGGAGGCAGACAGGCTAAAAGGATAACCAATATTTTGACCCCAGCCCTTCAAGGTGAGTGGGGACCCAGGACATAAAAGAACCTCTGCTTGTGTCATTCTAAGATACTCAGTGAGTCCTTGGTCTTCTGATCAAGATTATGAGACCTCAGAGGAAAGTGATCTTCAATGTATGGTGTTCCTAAAGGAGAGTCACCAGGAGAAAAAAGTCTCCCAAGCTTTCATAGAAAGCAACTGAGTCAAACAATGGCCCTGACTCACCGTGATGGCTGACACTGATGGAATAGCAGGGGGGTGCAGGGCATGGTTCTAGGATAATTCCTGAGGAGCCCTAACTGACCTTGAGAGAAAGTAAGAAACTGATTGTATTTAATTCAGGTCTCATCTTAGCTTGGTCTTGAACCTCCTGCAGAAAAGCATGGCTTCAGGTGGTGTAATGCCATATAAAATGTTGGCTGTAGGGAAAGCTTGGATTACTGACATACTCTTACAATTGCTGTCTACACTAGTAACTGATTATTGTTGTGAATGGTTGTGTTTTGTTTTGTTTTGTCATTACTGTACTGAGCATGAACACTTTCGTTTCATGGGTTTTGTTGCCTGCTTTTCCGTCCATGTCTTTTAAGTTCTGCCCATTATTACTAGCTAACAACTTTTTTCTGTGTATTGAAATCAAACTCCAACAGACATACCCTAGCTAGTTATAATTAATTAGAATTGTTGGTTTTGAACAAAGTTTTCATACCATAAACTGCTCTCAAGTATAGAAATTACTTGCCCATGGATGATGCTTAATTAGGTATGGGTAGGTTGATCTGGTTCAAATCAAGATTTTCTGTGTACAAACAAGTAGGACTGAGTCCCTCATAGAACTTCTCTGTATAAGATATTCTCACAGTATAGGATAGGGGAGGCCAGCTTTCTGATGCAAGGACTCTCCAGTGCGCTCAATTGTCTGTTCATTTAACTGCAGTTATTAATGTCTAATGTTTGTTAGAAGGTTCCCATGGGAAATACAGATGTAACACTAACCTCATTCCTGAAACACACTAACAAAGTTACACAACAAGACAGAAGAATGGCTTGATAGCCACTGATAGCTTGACAGAGGTGCACACAGTGGGTTTAAAGAATACACAGGACAAAAGTTCTGAATTGGCCTCTTAAGTAAACTTTACTCTCACTGATATTTTTCTTTACTAATGGCATATCAAATACAGAAAGTTCCGGGTCACAGCTATGTCCTTCAACATCCTTATTAAAAACATATATTGTGAAAAATTAAAGTAAAATTAAAAACTAATACCAAGCATATATTCTTTCACCTAATTTTTAAAGTTTAAAAAAGAATATTGTTCTTTGGGTTTTTAGTATATGATTTTGGTTCATATTAATTATGACTCACCTTAGGGAATTGCTACATATCCATATCACATCTCAATCAGTTTCTCTTCCTGCCTTCCAGAGTACTGCTCAGATATTTCCTCAGAGTGTAGTGCATGTGCCAGAAATGTTTGAAAAGAACCAGTTAGGTTACCCAAGAATGTGGCCTTGAAACTAGGCTGAGACACAGGGAAAAACTGCTTATTCCCCTTCAAATTTTCACTGTTCTTCCACCTTCCCAGCAGTTCTAAACACTAAATACTAAACAAGCACAAATTTAAATTCTCTTTTATCTTTGATAATCCAGATTACACGGCAGATAGGACTTCCGGTACCGTTTTAGTCCAATGGAATCCTCAGTAGGGACGTAGATGAGAGAAGCTCTACTTTTTGTCCATGACTGATAATTGGCTCCAAACCTCCTAATGTTTTTCATATCCTACTATCACTTTCTGTTCTTTTCCAATCAGTTCTCCAGGTCATATTTGTCCCACCAACAGGTCTAGCAGTTGGTCACCGGGACTAAAGATATGCATCACCCTGTGTATCAGCACACATGGAATGAAAGTACACTGTATCCCTGATGACCATCCAGTTTTAAAGATGTAATGTTGTTCTCATTTAGAATCAAAGTGGTCCTAAGAATTTTGATCCACTTGGGAAAAATTCTTAATGACTCAAATATCTATCCCAGTAGAACTGAGTATTGCATATTTGATGACTGATAGTATTTTTGTAAAACACTTAGTTTTTATTTAGTAAATGAAAGCAGTATTAGAGGTTCAGGGGGAAAGAAAAAATTCTTATGTTAGTTTTCTGTATGGAATTTAGAACTAAAGAGGCATTTAATAATTGCCATTTCAAACTGCAAAATATGGTGTGCTGCACTTTTGGAGAACATTGTCTAGATACTAAAATTCTAAGACCGCACTGGAAACATTTGAAAGAACTCATATCTGTGTCCAGCAGGTGGCATTTGTACATTACAGTTTAAAGAAAGCAAGTAAGTGCAGAAAGTAAAGAAACATTTCATAGTTGTTTAAAATATCTGGCTTCTCTACTTTTCTCTCATTGCAGAGACAAAATACCTGATGCCTAACATGAAGGAAGGGAAGACTAATTAGTTCTCAGTTTGTAGATATTTCAATCCATAATCAGCTGGCACAGTGACCTGACTGAGAGGTAACACTTCATGCCAGCAGAAGACATGAAGAGCAGCAAGAGCAAAAAAGGGGTGAGAGAGCAGGCCTCCTTCCCCCTTGCCTACCCACTCCTCTGGTACCAAGTCTGTGTTACTTACTTTCCTTTCTTTGCTGAAACGAAATACCTGATGCTCAAATGAAGGAAGGAAAGATTATTTAGCTCACAGTTTGTGGAGGTTTCAGTCCAAAATCAGCTCGCTTCAAGCTAGAGAGACATGATTGAGGGGCAATACTTCATGGCAGCAGAAGACATGAAAAACAATAAGAGCAAAAATGGGAGGAGCAAAAGAGCAAGCCTTCTTCCCTCCCTTGCATTATATATAGGCTATGCACCCTTGGGTGGGTGTAGCACTCACACCCATAATATCAGCACTAGACAAAGAATCAATCACAAGCTAGTTTCAGCTGCCTATTAAAGCATTCTCCCCGTGACTGCATGAGACTTTGGGAGGACATACAGACACAAACTATAACAGTATTTATGTATCTTCTTGGTCCCTTTTGTCTCCATAAAACCTCCTTTCACTTCCACTTTATTCCAAAAAACTCTTGCCAACTCATTTACATATCTTCAGGTGTTCAGGTCTCTGTAGCTACTCATAGGAAAATATCTTTTATATTATTAATAACTCCCAGGATATTACTGATGAAATCATTTCCTAGGCCAGTGTAAAATGAAAATCCAAGAACCTCTGTTAAAAGTTATGGAGAATTTTGAGAGGGTGTCAGCAGCTCATTAGCCTGCACAAGTTGTTATTGTGTACTCATACATGATTGCAATTTCCTTCTCCCCATGCCAACCTCCATCATTCCAATGCCTTCTCCCCTGTGGCACACTCTGAAAGAGCTGCTCAGGAAAAAAAAGAATCACAGAATGTCATCCATACATTGTAGAATCTTATCTTTGGAAGGAAATTTAGAGATCTAGCCCAATTCACTCATTTTAAAGATGACTCAGCTACATTCCAAAGAGATTAAGTGGCTCTCCAGAAATCCCCCAGTGTCACAGGCTGGCCTGGAACTAAGAATTTTCATGTGCCAGGCCAAGCCTCACTTTGCTTTTAATATTTAATGTTAGGGGCTGGGGATATAGCTCAGTGACAGAAGTCCCTGCCTGGCAATCTCAATGACTTGACTTTGATTCTATACCAAAAAAAAAAAAATTAATGTTAGTGTTATTTGTACAGATGAATAGGTTTTATTGTCACATCTATATGTTTTTACAGTATCCACCCTTCTTACAACACTCTCCTACCCTTTTTTGCCATCCTCCTAGCTTCCTTTTTCCTTAATGTCTCCCTTCTTTCATGTTGTCTTTTTTCCTCAAGGGTTAGGTAAAAAATTACTGCAGTATTTTGTTTATTATGACTGCTTAATACTCATGTGTTGATGGATATGGAGACTGACTCCATAAACTTAGTTATTGTGACTGGTGCTATGTGAAACAGTAGGTATCTGGGTATCTCTGTAGCATATTGACTTTGATTCATTCAGGTATCCACTTAGGAGTGGTGCAGCCGCATCATATATTAATTATATTTTAGGTTTTAGAGAAACTTTATACTGTTTTCCATAGTGGCTCTACTAATTTGCATTCCTTTGTTGAGGAGTTTTAAGAAAAAAATTTTCCCATCTACTTAAGACATATTTTGTTCTGTTTTCTCTGCAAGAAAATGACACGTTTGCATTACTTACATGTAGTGAGTACCGGCTATATGCTAGACACCATGCTAGATGTTTTATATATAAGTCGTTGGCAGCAGAAAAGCAATACTATTTTCTCCATTTTTCAAACAAGAAAATTAAGTCGTAACAAGTTTTGATTAGTAGAGTGGAAAGATGAGTTTAGGGAGGTGGGGGATTCCAGCACTCACTATCTTTACATAATATCACTTCTGAGTTCTACAAGATTGAAATTAACTTGTATTTCTTGAACATTGGTCTTGGTTCTGGTCAGCTGTGAGTGATCTGGGGGCACTTTCCGGGTTCTCCCAATTTTCCAGGCTTGTCCCTGTCTTAGGGCCTTGCGCCGGGGTGTCCCCTTCACTTACGATGCTCTGCTTTCAGATACTCCTTTACAAACCACACCACTTGCCTTTTTTCTGAATGAAAATCAGAAACGATATCTAAAGAATCTTTCTGGCTGCTGTATTGAAAAAGAGACTACTGCCTGGCAGGCGTGAGGTCATGAATTTGATTCCCGGTACCCCACACACACAAGAAGAGAGAGAAAAGAAAAGGAGACAAAGAAGGCAGAGCACAAAAGATAGAAGTTGGGAACTATTGGTCATAAGCCAGGTGAAAAATAATCCTGTCTCAGTCTAAGATGGTAACAGTGAAAATAATATGAAGCAGTTCGGTTGTAGAGTTTTGTGTGTACATTGTAATTCTTTATGTGATCTATTTTAATTATTTGTCATGAAAAATATCTAATACATACAAAGATAGGAGAAGAATAAATGAATCCCCATGTTTTTACTAGGTACCTGTGAACCTTTCAGCTGTTACCGTGTGTCTGGCACTTTCCAATGTGCTAGCACTTGTCGGCCTGTGATGCTGTCAGCTTGTGACCAGCTGTGTTCCACGCGTAGCGCTTTGCACTTTTCCCCAAGCCAAGAATGGGGAAAAGTGACTTGAAGCAAATCCCAGATACTACATTGCATGTGTAAGCGATTCAGCTCTTCCTCCTGCACTTGCTTCTAATTGCTCCTCTAATCTACTTTCTTTATGATTTCTGTGTTTCCATAGTTTCATACGCTCGTCACTTCTACTACTGTCTGTCCTTTTTGCCCTCCTTAAACACTTTTTTTTCTACCAGCCACTTGCTATGCTTTTTTCAAATTCAAACTCCCTAAAAAGAGGTCCATTGGGTTCAGTTAGTAGCTGTTATTCTTTTGCGCAGGTTGAAGGTTGCCCAACTTTGGAGACAGGCTGTGCTGGGATCAGGCATGGTGTGTGGTGCACTGACAAAGTCATTTATCCTGAATTGAGATTATTGAAATGGGCATGACTTAGCAAGTAATAGAACAATACTAATAAATAGCAGAAATTTAATATCAGAAAGGACACAAGTTATGAAAAAAGAAAGCTTATGGTGAAGCTAGAATAGAAAAGTTTCTAACCACTGACATGCCGTTATTTTATAGTTTAATTTCATTCATTTGGAGTGTTATTCTTGGGTACTACCAAGGAACTAAGGAAATTTTTTCCAAAGATATTTGTTGTTTATTATAGGCAAGTAATAGCATAAATCACAATATAATAGACTAAAAGTCAAGACTTACACATCCGTCTTGTTCAATATGGACTCTATACAGCACTAGACAAGGCAATAAAATTCTTTGTGCATTTGTCAAAGCTTTCAAAGAAGGTGATACTGGCCTTTCCTTCTTTTACATATGTGGACAAGTGAGATTAGAACATAATAGTAAGTGAAATAAATGAGGCACACAAGCTTAAATATCACATGGTTTTTCTTATATGAGAAGCACAAATTATAAATAAAGAGCAAAATAAAAGATAATTGGAAGTAGAGAGATAAGTCTTTCTTAGATGGAAAGGGGATCAAGAGATGAGGGGAGAAGGGAGGACAGGAAAAGGGAGCAAGAAAAAGAATTAAGATGTGTTATGTATATGGGCCAACTCCATGCAAGGAATGTGTACATTATATATTGCAAACATGTATTAATAAACCATTAAAATGAGCCAGTGAGGTGCAAAAGAAATAAAAGCACTTTGAACATTTATGCAAAACAGCATGTGAAAACCTAAATATTTTTTATGTGAAGATGTTTATGAAGTTATAAAACAATAGATTTTTTGTAAAAGATTATTCTCTAGCTTACTCATTTCCATTGTGTGCTCCAATATTTTCCCACATTGTAAGGTGTCTGTCATATGTGTATACCTCTTAGAGCAATATATAGCATACAGTAATAACTGTGTAAATGTCAGCTATTGTCTGTATTAGTAAGAAAAAGAATCTGTTAAAGCAAAAGTCCATAGATTTGCAAATGCTTAATTCTTAACCCCATAATATATATGCTGCTAACATAAAATTGCTTAAAGCACATAAAATAGTAGATTACATGAGAATGTGAGTGAAAGGAAAGTTTTGGGTCCTGGCAAATTTGGTAGTGTATGTGTTTATGGGAGAAAAAAATGGAGGGTATCAATGACAATAAAAAGTAACATGCTGGGGCCTGGCCAAGTAGCAAAGTGCTTGCCAAGCATGTTGAAAATGCTGTGTTCAATACCGAGTACCACAAACGCCCATGCGCACGCGCATACACACACACACACACACACACACACATGCATTTTGTTGTCTGATGGCCCTGTGGTTCCTTTTCAAAGACTGATTAGTGCACAGGCTGCATCAGAACCACCAGGGAGTCTTCTAAAATCTCTAGTTCTGTTTTCAGAGATTTTGACCTAATGGATTGACAGTAGAGATTAGGAATGCAAATTTGTTGTTGTTTTTCAGGTAATCTTGATTTCTAGCTAGGTCTAGAAATCACTAACAGTGTCAAAAATTACAGTCCAGGTTTTTGCAGATTGTGGGTTTATGACAATATTTGTTTTGTATTTGCTTTTCTTATTTCTAAATTTTCTGATGGTGTTAATTTTATAATAATAAATCTTTCCAGGAAATTATTCATAAAGAGTACAAGATTTAAAGATACCTATGGAGCCTATGTTTTTAATTTCCTAAATGTAAAAACAAAAATGAAAACATCAATGCATACATCACAGTTACGTTTTCAAGGACAGGCTACTTATAAAGCAATGTGGGAACAATGTTTATTGTTTTGTTTTCCAAAAAATTTCAGATTCTTTTCAAACACCAATAAATGTATATTTTAATATAAAAAGATTAAATCCTAATTATCTTTTGCTTCTTTTGCTTTGGCAAAACTGGAAATATGTCAGTAACTTTGTACTGGAAGGGGATAGAAAAAGTTTTTCCACAACATTGATCTTCCATCCAGTGAGTATTCTGTTCTGTGCTCCAAGAATCATGCTCATTCCCTTTTAAAGATCCTCTTGGCTTGAACTCCTTCATAAGTGTAAGTCTAAAAACCATAAAAGAATTTACTATTAAGAAATATCTGAATTAAGAAAACTAATATTTCATAGCATTGAATGAGTGCATACAGGATATACCCAATAACACACTTTGGCTGTAGTTACATTTGTAGTTAAAATAGGCATTGATGCATTTGTTATAAATACTTTTTAATAGACATCTAAAAAATCTCTACTTTTAAATCATTTAAAGAAAAGAAATAAATTTATTTATTAATGATATAACTCAAACTCATTGTTATGTAATCTTTTTTGTCTTTGGAAAATGGTTATAAATCTTTTGCAATAACTCACGTGGATTAGTTCATTATCTATAATTTCTCGGACAGTAGTCAGTTCTTTTCCATTGTCCACACGTTTGAATTTTCCAACGAGTTTATCTCCTTCAAGGTTCCAGCTCCCCTAAATAATAACAATGATGATGATGATGATGATGGTGATAGTAATAATTAACAATAAGGCATTTATTAGGATTTTACAAGTTAAAGGCACTGTTTTGAGTTCTATAGAACTACTTTTTCATTTAATGTTCATAGAAACTCTGTGAAATAGATACTATTGTCTCCATCTCACAGCTGAAGAAACTGTTCAAGGACAGAGTCTTTCACCCAAAGTCACACAGCCAGGACTGTACATATGCTTTCGGGCTCTACAGTATTTGTGTCATTAACCATTATGCTTACCTCCATTAAGAGTTTTTGCAGGCTGAAGGCAATAAATGACAAACTGATAAAACATTAAACTGATAAATAGTCATTACAAACATATATAAGTAGAAAAACTCTGAGGTTAAGAAAAGTTTTAGTAATTGGTTGAAAATGATGAGTACCTAAAAATTTTTACCTTAAATATAAAACGGTACATTCTCAATGAACTACAATGTAGTGTTAGATATTTCCATTTGGTTAAATATTTTTTAAATTATTTTAATACATATTTACTCAAGAGCTATTATGTTTAACTCTAAAAAATTAGAGTTAATTACGTAACTCTAACAGCCTTTATCTCTGACAGGTATGTAATAAAGTTGAAAACTCTAAGCTTTGAATTTCTTGACAAATAGCTCTATATGTAATCACTCAAACTTAAGTTTTTAATCTAGATTCTTCACAGGTATGTGTGAAGAATAAAAATGTTTTATTTAAATATCCTTGCAATATAAAATGTGGGCAGACTTCACCAAGTCCTTCAATAAATAAAAAAGACCTACATTAATTAAACCACCCAATGAGGTAAAGCAGAGATTGTTTTACAAGTGGATAGAAGAGTCAAATATACATTGCTTATCAAGAATAAAAACAAAACAAACAAAAAGCTTCTTACACTGAGTTCAGTTCCATCTGCTAAGCTGTAGTTAAAAGTGACACCAAGTTCGAAAACAACTTCAATAGTTCGAAAAACACTTGATTCTTTCACTGTGAATTTATTTCCTTCTTGTGTGATGGTCAGTTTCAAATTGTCATGAGCGGCAAGCTTCCTTTTCACCACGTTAATCCCTGCAAAAGGAAGAAATTAAAGAAAATAAAATCAAAATGCCCTAGCAAATGTTGGTCTTTCTAAATCCTATTTTATTTGCTTTTTTATTTTTAATTTGAGGGCAGAAAAAAACCTGAAAGCATCTCCTAGGCACAACAGCACTAACAGTATTTCTGTAGAAAAAGTTCAAGTTCCATCAATGTAAGAGATTCCAGAAATAGCAAAAGTTAAATTAAGTGCAGAATTATAGGACCTTAGACATGAATATTTTAAATAAGATTAATAAACTTTCAGTGTTAAATAAATCAAATTCCAGAAATGTCAAAAGGTATATTCATATATTTATAAGGAAACACAAGTTTAATTTTTAAAAATATCACTTTTCTTTCTATTACTGCTTAGAGTTGTTTTTTCATTTTTTTAGTTCTGAAGATTGAACCCAGGGCCTTGCGCCTGTGAGGTAAGTGCTTCACCACTGAGCTACAGCTGTATCTCTGCTTCTAAATTTTGAATGTATAATTCCCTCTGCTTTTTGTGGCATCACTGATAGATGCATACACACAAAAAATAGAAAAAATGATCACAGTTTACGATCAACTTCACTAGTATATGGATATAAAACTCCTATGAATTTAAACTTGAGATCTTAAACTATTAGCTTAAATTGATGCAGAATTTACTTAGGAAGAGTGACACTAGTTTGTCTGTCCTTGTACTGTGTGTACGCTTCCAGAATATTGTTATAAATTCATAAAATAGTTAAACTCCCAAAAGACAATACATGACTTTATGAGTTTACTTGTAAGGTTTTATAAGTCATGGGAAAATAGAATTTAATCTATATAAAGCATCTGGATAGAATACTTTTCCATTATTTTATGATTTTTGCCTCTTCATCTCCTAGAATTCTACAATTTAGAATTTGGACATTATCATTATTATATCATGTTCTTACTCTGAACAAATAAAAATATCAATTTTCAACGATAAGGTACAATCCACAGCTAAAGAGTGACAGAAATACATCTAGATTTTGTGTGTATGTCTCAGAGGATGGTACTCAAAGAATTTTTCCTTGCATGAGTCAGACAATGTATTCTGACTAATGCAGAAAGGGGCTCCCTTTGTGCTTCTGGGGCCTCACTGCATCAGGAGCTAGACAATTTTCTAAGCCAAAAAATGTCTATGAGAAATTACATTCCCTAAGACAGAAAAATGTCTGTGAGAGAGCAAAGAACGAGCCACCAATGAAAGAATGAAATCAGTCCTTACCCATTTTTTCCATGAACTTGTCATAGTTCTCATTTCGGTCCACTTTCCAACTACCATTAAATGTCATGACTGCACCTGAGGCAGGCTCGCGGAAGCAGCAATGCAGTCCTGCCTTCAGGAGAGAATTTATTCTACTTCTTATCTTAGAACCACCTCTATTCTGCGATGTGGACGTTCAAAGTTCAAGAGACCGCCTAACCCCTCTACACTAAACCACGTTAGTGTCTCTTTGCATAATTTTTATATGTTCTGAAAGTCACCTGCACTAAAATTTGAGGAGCATATCCAGTGTGTCTTAAACTACAATGTATGGAAATATTTATTTCAAGAATTAGAAATAGTTTTTCTACCTGTGGGTTCAAAGTGCACTTTGTATTGGGGCTGTCATAATTTGCAGCAGATATCAAATAGCATGTGGGGAACAAGGTTGTAAAGACCTGTTCCTTTTCTTTGTTTCATTGCCTTGTAAGGTCAGACATTATGATAAAAACAGTTGAAAAGCTAAATTTAATGATTACTGAGACTGAAATTTTATTTTCATTTGTTTTCTATATTATTTTTATTGAGATAAAGTGAACATAAGATTCAACATATTCTTTTAAAGTGTAAAATTCACTGCTTTTACATTTATTCACAGTATTATACAACTATCACCAGGGTTGTATTCTTAAATGGTTCATCATTCTGCCCCACAAAAAAAAAGCCCCCATACGTATAAAGCAGCGATTTTTTATTTCTGTCTTTATGAATCTATCTATCAATCCTGGATATTTCATACAGAGAGTGTAACATAGTAGGTAACCTTTTATGCTTGCATTCTTTCATTGAACATGTTTTTCATATTATCTATCAATACTTCATTCTTTTTAATATTATATTTTTGACTAACAACCTTTAGCTGTACATATTAGTGGGTTCATGTGATACGTGTACAACACACCTAATCAAACCCAGCGGGCTCCAACTACCCTCCATTCTCCCTGCCCCAATATTCAGTTATTTTACATTCGGGTTAATTGTGGTAGCCTCCACATATGATGGAGGACGTGTGGGACTTCTCTGAAAATGTTTTTTTCTTTTTGTCTTTTTCCTTTTTATCGGTACCAGGGATCGAACTCACAACTGCACACTTGCAAGGCAGGCGCTTATGCTGCTGAGCTAAACCCATTGCATTTAGGGTTGCCAGTAGCTTGCTAAAAATCCTGACACTGGACAGAGTGCAAGGCACAATAGGTACTTATGAGGATTTTTTTTTTTTTTTTTTTTTGGTTTTGAAGGGCAATAGCTCATTGAGTGTGATTCTGAGAGGCTGAAATGTGGCTGGACAACATAAAAACTCTCCTAAGAGAATCAGCGTTAAACATCTGCTGCATACTGAGTGAACAAAAGCGGTGTGTTAGCTGTGCCATCAATTAAACTATTCCTTCATGTTTTTCTCCCTCCCAAAACTGGGTAGAATTGAAAGCCACGGCTCACTTTGTGTTGGGGGTGGAGAGCTGCAGGTGGCTGAAAGTTAACAAGAGCAGGTCATTGTATTTCTTTTCCCAACACAGAACACTTCTAGGCCTCAGCTGGGGAGGCAAATGTTAGTATGAAGCACATGGTCTCAAAATGTAACTTACTGAAAAGAGGCTGTGACTGCGACTGAATGTGACTGAGAACATCTTATCGATTAAGCTTTAGCAGATAAGGTGTTTCTAAAAGCTGGCCAGAGAAGAATGTATCAGAAGGGTTTAAAAGGGGCCATGGAGAACAGAATCACAGTTAAAAATGTTGAGTGTGTTCATTGGGCAACCACCCTTTCAATAGGTGTCTCTGTTTCTGTCTCTCTGTCTCTGTCTGTCTCTCTGTCTCTCTGTCTCTCTGTCTCTCTCTCATTAAATAAGCACATTAAAAAGGAAATTTTCACAAGGAATAGTGTCATGTACTTGGAGTTCCAGCTACTTTGCAGGAAGATCTTAAGTTTTAGATCAGCCTAGGCTAGTTAGTGAAACACTGTCTCAAAATAAATTTTTTTTTAAATGTTGGGGGTATAGTTTAGTGATAGAGTGTTTGCCTGACATATGTGAAGCCCTGGGATCAATTCTTAGTACCTCCCCCGAAGAAGATTACTTTATCCTAGCTCTGTTGTTTTATGTATAAAGACAAACACACCAGAACACACACAGAGGTGGAACAGAAAGGTTGTAATACAATAGCGGGAAATGCTTTACATTGGTAACTTTAGCTTTATTAAAATTAGCTGTACCGGCTTTTGTTTCACCGCCTTTGTCAAAAACAACCATTGCGGAGCCATCACTGGCACACCACCAACCTGGTGTACTTTCAAATTGGTGGGAAGTAGAAAAGTTTATGACTGCAGAGCTGAAGGAGGTGAAAAAGAGAAAGAGAGAGAGAGAGAGAAGAGAGGAGAGAGGAGACAGAAAAGCTTTTCTTCCATAGCCTCTACAACAACATGCATACATGCGTCATCTACTCACTTTCCCAAACTGTGGGATTCTAAATATCATAGTATCATTTTAATAAAAAATAAAGGGCGGAGTCTGCACCCACCATCAGTATCAAAGGTCTATAAGGAAAATGTTGTACTGGTTTAAAGGTTCTACATAACCTTTTCTAGATGAACTCTAAGTAAGTGATAAAAATTGGGCAAATGTATATTGGAGATCTGGAGAAAGGAAACTATGTTAAAAATTGATCTGGGCATTAAAAAATGTTAATGAAACCACTCTACAGAGATAACAGGGGTTTTAAACTGACTTTAATGAGGTTATGACTAATAAGTGGAAGGTCACAAATTGAAGATGTCCATTCAGGTGGCAGGTTTGTGTAAGTCCAAGTGCTATTTGCTTTCACTGATTTTTTTCATTCCTTCTGAGAAGCATGAAGTGGCCACAGACAGTTTGCTTGTCTTCGCTAGGTGAATCATGGGAAACCATTGCAGTTTCTTCTCCACCTACCTGCTTGAGCTATGTATTTTTATTTCCATGGCTGTGAGATCAGAGTGTAAACATGTATTCCCAGAGGGTGCTAAGGCCCCATGTGTCTTCAGTAATCAAGTCCAAGGCATCTCCAGTCCCAAGATGATCACCAGTTTAAATCACAAAATATAGAAGTAATTTTAAGTGGCTTTCTGATGAACACCAGAAAAGCACAAGTTTTCTTTACAAAGTAGGAAAATAATTTGAGACCTGGAATGCTTTGAGGACACTGGTACTTTGCTGGGATTTCCGTTTTCAAAGAGTGAGAAGAGAAACAAAGATTTATTGAGTATTTGATTTTTATCTGTTGTTCAGGTAGGTACATTACATAATTTACACACAACTTCATTTTATAGGTGAGGAAATTGGGGCTCTGAGAGATTAAATAATCTGACCAATGTTTTGCATTGTAGTAAGTATTACTATTATGGTGTTGAAACTCAAGTCATTTTGTTTCTAAACCACATGTTCTGGTTACCTCACCACATTTCTAATTTAGTGACCAGATATACCTGTTTTTAAGATCTACAAAAGATGAACTGGATCCATTGTCTATGGATTTGAGTCAGTAGGAACAGTGAGTTACCAGAGAGGCTATGTAGTCACCTGTTTGTCGGTCTCTCTGTCTCTGTCTCTGTCTGTCTGTCTGTCTCTCTCTCTCTCAGCTGTACATATCACCCACTGAGTGGTCTCAGAAGAAATGAAAATCAGCAGACACCCTGCCCCTATTTCTCCAAGGAAAGTGCAAACCACATTCCTTAATGTGGCTTGTGAATTACTATTTGTAGAAAGTGAGAACATATATGGCAAGGTTTAATTTAACAGATTTATTACAGTAAGACACTACCACCAGCCTCTCCCCGAACCCTCCCTCTTGCTTTGAACACATTTACTCCATCATTCCTGCCAGTTGCTGAAGCAGTTCTGGAGTCCTCTTTACTGTCTTTATGAGACATAATCAAAAATATAGTGAATGGTGCTGCTGACTGTCACCTAACAAAAATGCAGACTTCTGCAGACATTACCGTGTGTCCTCATCCATCTTGGTCACTGCATTTGGCATCACGTGACTTCTGACTCTTTCTGCAGTCAATATGACCACAGAAGGTAAATGTTTTGAATCCATCCAGGACAGTAAGAAAGCCCCAGTAGTGCAACTAAAGACATTCACAAAAGAGGACTTCAGAATTACCTCAGAAAGTGGCAAGGCTAATGGGACGTGTTCAAAGTGAGATTGAATATTTTAAGAGGGATTAATGACAGTATGTCTTTTACAGTATGTCTTTTAAAACTGTAAAACAGTTTTAAAAAATTAAGCATTCACCATGTATTTTGATCACACTGAGTCTATCTCTAGCTTCTGTCCATTTCTTGCAGTGTGTTCCTTGATGTAGACATTAAGCCCTAGCAGTCCCTCACCCTGGACATCCATGATTACCTCGGGTCCTGTCACTGACTGCTCCAGTAGGTGTTCTTAAACTGCCAAGAGTGAGTCAGGTTACCTTTCTCCTAGTTATAAAGGTCTCAGTGTAGCTCATAAAAGGCAAATAAAACTGATTTATGATAACCATGATAATATTATGAAGTCCAAAGCCACCACTGGCAAGAGGAAAAAAATGTGACAATCTCAAAGAAGAGATTTTCTTTTACCCTATTGTGTGGCAGAAGGGAATCTTATTCTCAATAATTATTTTTAATATATCATAAATAAAACAAAACAAAATAAACAATTCCCCCAGCATATTAAGGCATTTCCTAGTCATCTCAGAGTTTATGGATTGTATTATATTTTTTCAAATCACAGATTGTTTAGCTTTCATATACCAAAGAAAAACAGAGCTTAGAAAACTGGAGGGATGGAAAGAAGTAATATAACAGGAATATTTTAATGTTAGTATCAAATGCCTAGTGAATGGGAAGGGGGAGCATTCTAAGCATGCTAACAAAGTTTACTTCATCCCAAGTTACAATTGATTTCTAAATTTTAGGACTATTAAGAATTTTGTGATTATGCACCTAAGATTTTGTACCTTACAGGGCTGGTTGGTTTTATTTTAAAAATACTCTGTGTACAGGATAGTATCTACCATATAAAGGTGACTGTGCCTTATTGATTCTCATTAATAATAAAATACTCATTATAAAGTAACAAGTTATTGAACGTTCTTGTGTGAAAGAA